CTAGTTTGGTATTGATGCATCACTAAATGCACTTCCAACATATGGTCTAATCTGCACTTCCTTGGAAGACCATTTAATCATTAGTGTTGTAAAATGCTATTTGTAGAGCAATATTCATTTCACTTCGTTACTGAAATTTAACCTGATCTTGCATCCATACTATCTTCTAATTATTGTTATATTTTAATATTTGGTTACCAACTCTTGCGAAGATATTTTCTCTCTGAAGTTTTAATGCATCCAAAAACCCTTTTCTGAAATCTCACTTTAAAGTTGACCTTTTTACTCTTTTTGCAATTTAAATCTCTGAGGAACGATATTTGGTATTACTTACCATTATTACTTGATTTGGATGATACTTGTAAGCCATATATACTTGCATAATTTACTTGTCGTTATAACCTTTTGAGGGTATAGATCCTTCCACAACAGTATGCACAAGTGCATACTGGTAATTTGAAGCAATTTGTCTATTATGCACATATGCATATGCATAAAAACCAAGAAACAACTTCAATTACCGATATGCACATGCGCATACCGTCCAGATGAATGGTTACCAGGGTGTTCCTTAGTTTTTCATTTTTTTGAGATTTTCCCCTGAACCTCACTCTATATATACATATAATATAATGTTTATGTGTATTCTTTATGCATTAGACCAAAGAAGTGGATACAACTACTTCTTTTATGATTTATTGTCAATAATCCATTGGAATGAAATCGGGCATGAAGATATATCTACGTGAGGGTGAGGCGTGGTTGGATTATGACTCAAAAGATCCTTGCTTTGTGGATGAGATCCAGAACATCCATCTTGGTATATGCATGAATGGTTTCAGTCTAACCAACTCGAACTCTAATGTGCATTCTTTGTGGCTCTTTTTGTTACAACTACAATTCACCTTCTTAGGTGGCTTTGAAAGATTCATATGTTAAATTTGCCTTCATCATCCTTAGAAGGAAGAGCCTTGGGTAGAATCTAGATGTGTTTCTTAAGACAATAATAAATGAACCGAATGTTGTATGATGAAGGTGTTGTTACCTACGATGCCAATTCTTGGAGTAATTTCACTTTGAGAAACATACTACTATGGACAGTTAGTGACTTTCGTGCTTATGCAATGCTGTCGGGTTGGACCACACATGAAAAATTAGCTTGTACATACTGCATGGACAAGGAGGGGTTCTTTTCACTTTCAAAATGGAAGGAAATCAGGTTGGTTTGACTATCGGGGAAAACATGTACGAGACTACATGTTTTCCAGTATGATAGAAAGAGATCTTAATTTAAACTGATGTATCATTTGGACCACCGGTGGAGTCACTTTCTAATGGTTTATGACTTTGTTCATTAGAAACCGAAGAATAACCCATAATTGGTTAAAGAGAAATATCTTCTTGGAGCTGTCATATTGGTGCACTTTGTTAAACTGACACAACCTGCATGTAATGCACATTGAGAAGAACGTTTTCTAGAATATCAAGGCAAGGTTGGATATAGAACTTTATTGTGATCTAATGGAGTTACATACCAGCTAGTTTAATGGCATCGGCATCTCATCTAGTCTAGATTTATGAAATCGATAGCTCCATATACCTTCACCAAAGCATAAGTGTAGAAAGTGTGTGAATGATTAAAGAAGATAACATTTTTGGATGCGTATGATTCAAGGGGTGTATAAACTGAGGTAGATGACCTATAGGGCCTTTAGGGCCATGGTCATTGGGTTACTTTGTGTAGTAAATATGATAGATTTAGATTGAAGTGTAAAACAATTATTGTGGGCATTTAGACTTATTTTGTCTACATCTAAATTCCTCCACCTACATATTATCCAAGCCCAAGCCCAAGCCCAAGCCCAAGCCTAATTCAACTTATGTATGAGGATTATGTGCTATTATTGAGACAATTGTGAATATTGGCTCTCTGAAACTCTAGTAAGTAGACACTAAAGGTCCAACGAGATTCCTAAGTTGTAACTTTACTAGAGAAATAGGTATGCACTAAGGTTCAATAGTCCTTGAGGTGAAATTATGTGGAGTGGGCACTAAAGGTAGATGTGGTTTTGAGGTAACACCATGAATGGGGCGTGTACTAAAACTGTGAACCTGAGGTGTAGTCCCTATAACATCATTATATGTCAATACTTTTGTGTTCCCACCATCTTGATGGAAATGGGCCTCCCCCGTCAAAGAGAGATGTTTCTTGTGTATAATGTCCAAGTTAGGACAACTATGTTTTAGTGCAGGGTACTGTACTTTTATTACAGTTCGAGTAACATTTGAATTATCACTCTTATCTACCTTATAAAATTTTTGTATGTGATCTCACTAGGATTTTTGGCTTAACACTTGCTTTGTGTTGCCTTGTATCTCAGGTTCTAGTGGCAGGGTTTCTAAGTATGTGGACCGACCATTTGTAGAGAGAGATTTTGGGGAGCGGAGCACTTTTGGGACACCATGTGTTATTATAGTCTTTTGATGGTTTGAGTGACCTTCATTTGTAATCCAGTTTTGTAAGGATCAGATTAGGAGGTTGTTAGGCTTAAGCAAATTTATTTACAAATATAATTAACTGGTGTGTATTATCTCCTTTTTAGGTAAAGTTCGTATCTTGATATTTATATATCATATTTCCTTTTTACATTTTGAATTTTTTATCGTTTCATTTTTGAGGTGTTACACTGTACCATGCCTTTCTACCACCCTAATTTTGGGTCGAGGCACTTCACAACTCCACAAACCTACACGACATTTTTCCAAGCAAACTCCTTTCCATCCAGTCTCCCACATCCATTCTCTACCTAAAAATCCCTATCCTATGAACATCTAGGTGTCTTTCTATATGTTTGTTATCCTAACCAATCCGCTAAATGACTTTGTAAACTTGCACCATGCTCCACTCGCTGTGTTTTCCTAGGCTACCAACCTTAATATCGGGGCTATTGTTGTCTTTATCTCAGCACTAGAAAAGTTATCCTGTCATGACACATCATCTTCACTAAATCAATCTTTCTGTTTGCCAAGTTCTCTTCTCCTCACCCCACTCCTCACACTGCCCGTAACATAACATTGCCTCCCCCACGTCTTCGACTTTATCCATACACTCTAATGCCCAAACACCACCACAACCTGTCTATACCATACTGCCACCACCTCCCAACGATCTACGTCACCAAAATAACTCGGCCACAAGCTCTCACACACTTTCGCAGTGCCTACCCCACCGCGACATGATCAACCACCAAATCTCCCACTCAATGACAACCTAGTCCACGCATGATTTTCCAAACCAAGCAAACAATTTCACCTTCACACAACCAACATACCACTAGTATCACCCGTTCCAAAGTCTATTGACTAAGTCCTCCATGACCCTTACTATAATGCTAACGTGAAGGATGAATGTTGTGTATTATAGGCAAACAACAAATGGATTTGGTTCCATGATCACTTGATGCTTCTATCATCTGGTGTACATGGGTGTTTCAACATAAATTTCATTTCGATGGATCTTTGCAATGGTAAATGGCACGCCTCATTGTTAAAGGCATAACTTAGCAAGTTGGTATTGACTATCATGAGACATGTAGTCCAATCGTCAAACCTATGACCAATTGCACCATCTTAAGTGTGGTCATTTCTCGGGTGTGGCCCATCCATCAACTCGGTGTAAGGAACACATTTTACAACCCGTCAAGACCAAGTCACGTATCTCAGATTCAAAAGTACCTGTATGATCTAAAGCAAGCACGATACCGGTGGTTCACTATTTTCATTACATCCACCGATTTTTAAAGTAGTACATGCGATATGTCACTTTTTAATTACCTAAAAGTGGTGCCTACTTATTACTCTATGTGGAAGACATAGTTTTGACTGCCTCCTTCACCAACCTCTTACAAAGCATTATTACATCACTATCTTGTGATTTTGCTATGATTATCTCGAAAAGTTGCATTAACTATTTTTTGGCATTGCAACTTGTAGGAACTCTACGACGACTTTCTCTGAATCAACATCAATATGCCAAAGATATATTAATTTGGGCTTCTATGACAACATGTAATCCCAACACCACACCAATCGACATGTTTGCCAAACTTAGCATGTAAGACGGTTTGTTTGTCGTTGACCCGACTTCATATTGAAGCCTTGTAAAAGCTCTTCAATATCTAACCATCATGCGTCATGATACCACCTAAGTCGTCCAATGAGCATGTCTCTTTATGCATGGACCCCAAGAGCCGTTTTTTCAGCTTCTCAAATGATACATAGTATCCACACGAACAATATGAATCTTTCCTTTTCAAGTTGCTAGTTATAGTTTGTAACTAAGAAGAATGAGAGAAATGTGGGATGAGAACACCGAATGTAAATTTTCAGTCAACCAATTGTCTTACATCTCTCTCTCTCTCTTTATATATAAGTGAAACGATGATCATGTCACCTAACATACAGTAGACTTCAATGCTTGTAAGAGATGCTACATTTCTAAAAGTCATAGCTATACCTTTTTCACTCATCACAATCTATACTTTGTGCTTTTTTCACATATTTGATGGGCAAGTCTATTCTTGTCTTTACCTAGTATTGTGATGCATGACATGATATCCGATTTTAATTTAATCAAATTAAATTAATACCCAAATAGATATATTAATCGAACATTTTAATTATTGAACTCTTTATGTTGCTTTGTTCTCAATGTCGTACATGACATGGATGTGTCATTCTTGTTATATACAATCCATATAATCTTGATTCCTGAATAAAATTATAAAATAAATGAGTTTCACATACCGATTATCTTATCATCCATGCATTTCCTTAATACTATTCAATTAAGAGGCCTAAAGACATTATTCATATAATAAAGAACGAACAAATATTAGCCCAAAGAATAGAGTTTATTTTGGTTAAAAACTTTTAAAGGGTCTTAAATGACCCGGAATATTTTGACAACCTTTATTGAAACAGTAAATATTGAACCAAAAAAAAAATAAACATGATCATAATTCAAAAAAATACGATGTGTAGTTGAATTCAGTTGAAATTAAATGAAATATAATGATAACAAATATACGGGAAAAACAATAATCTTCAAATATCAAGTCATGTTTGTTTAACCCATCATTGTTTGGTTCATCGGAGGAGTCATCGTTTGATACTTCGCCATCTGTTGATTCCTCGACATATTTCCTTGCCATCCTAAATGTGAAATTTGAAAGTAGTTAATTACAAGAAAAATGTGAATCAACAAAGGCATACGGCCGGAAACGACCATGGTAGATTGTTTTGTTGCAAAATACAACCAGGCCATGTACAGACCGTATGACAATACAGGGCATCATAAGCCGAAGGGGCGTCGAGTTTTTATGTTATTAGCTTTCGTCTAATCATATGGGCTATAAACAGCAGGTCCAAGCCATTCAGGACATCAACTAAACGACTATTCTAATTAAAGAAGGAGAGCGTGAATATGGTCATCAAACAAGTGAACAACCAAGTAGATTCCTATTGTTCCTCATCCCTTCTCTCTTGACTGTTTTAATTCCTTCGGCGTGGGATGAGCGACCTCATTTGACTAGGTCTCAAACCCTTTAGAAAATCATACCTTATGTTTGTTTAAAAAATCAACATAGGGGTATTTTTTTAGTATTTCAGCACATGACATCAGAAACCCCATGACAAGTCCTGAATACAACGATAGGAATATATAATTTGTCGCTAAAATTACAGCTAGCAATGTTAATTAGCTTTTAGCGACAAACATCAATCAAGGATTTGCAAAAAGAACCCATTGCATTTCACATATTTAATGATTGCGTACAAAAATGCAACGTCTTCACAATTTTGTTTGTAACATTATTATAACTCTGAAACATAAAAACGAATCCGATATGCAAAGGACTAGGAAACACATCTCTTAACTTTTTCTATGAAAAACGATAAATTGCATCAAAATCAAACACTTTTAAGCTCCCTTCAAAACTTTTATTTTAGTGTTTATAACAATATATTTTAAAGAATAAAATTATAATAATTTCCATTTAAGGAAGATTATTTTACTCACAAAATATGCTATATATTTTATTCACAAAGTTGTATAGCACATGAAACCTGTGTCCAACACCAATTTGAGGGTCATTTTCTGAGTCATTCAGTGATTAATACTGGAGAGAGACCGGAGATCGAACCCAAAACCTGTATTATTTTCGGACAAAGTTACCGTACCCCTTAGCTAACTAAGTTACTCATGTTATGTGATAGTTGTTACAATTTTCTTGAATTTGAATGTAATTTTCAGTAGATTACATGTTTAGTATATGTGATTATATGATACATTTTTTTGTTTTTTCAGTTATTTGTTCAAAGCTTTTATTTTGTGAAGTGTATCGTATCTTTAATGTAATTTATATGGTGGAAAAATTCTTCCCAAACTTTACCTCTTGAAATAAATATCCACGATAGAATTTCTCTAAGTCTTTTTAACTTTAAAATATTCTTGATATATGATCAAGACATATTGGAAGTTTAATGAATTATAATTATTTAATTTTAAAAATAGTCATTTATTTTAACGAAAAAGTATATGATAATATATACATTAAAATTCAAAAACTCGGATTTGTTTTCTCAAGTTTGTTAATTTCCAACAACTTTGGTTCCTTCATTTAGTTGTCCTTTACTTTTTATGTTAAAACATGTTAAATAAGAGGTATTTTAGTTATTTTCATTCTTATTTTTATTCTAAAATTAAAAATCAATTTCTAGTTTAAATTTTGAACAGTAAAATGAAAAAAAAATTGAACTTTTGTTAAAATTAAAAATTTAACATGTATTTTTTACTTTTCTTCGTTTTACAATTTAAAATTAAAAAATATAAATGTCTTTTAGATTTTAATAAGAGATAAGAAATTAAATAATGAAAATGACAAAAAAATTCCCCTCATTTAACTGTACTAAAAAAAGTCAATGACTGTTAGACTGAGAGATCAAAATCGTTGGAGATTGACAACGATAAAAAAGAAAATTAAAGTTTTTAAAATTTAAAAATAACGTCGATTAAAAATTGTAAATATTAAGAATCAAAAGTAAACTTTATTCATAAATTAATTATTATATTTTTGAGTGTGAAAAATAAACTTGTAATAGAAACATGTTATTGCACGTTGGAGGAATAGTAGCTAGGAAGCAACATAAAAACATAAACAAATTAGGTTTTATTGTAATGTAGGTTTATAATTATTATGTTCTGAATATAAAATAAATCAACTTGTTGTAAAAACAATATTCTTATTGTAAAGCATTAATAAAATAATTAAAATGTGCTCCTAAAATCATTAGCAATATACAAAAATTGAAGTGTACATATATATATATATATATATATATAGATAGAGAGAGAGAGAGAGAGAGACAGACTTGGGATCGCGTGAGGCTCGTGAGACCACCTTTTTACATTTAAAATTTCACAGCAAAACGTTGTGAAGGTAAAAAAAGTCGAACCTTCACAACAAAAACACTGTAAATATTACCTTCACAGCATTTTGCTGTGAAATTTCAAGTGTAAAAAAATGATTTCACGGGTCTCACGAAAACAGCGTGATCCACGTGATCCCAAGTCTCTTTCTTTATATATAAACAAATTAAAGATGAAAAAGGATTTTGTTTGTTAAAATTCGCAACAAAATGCAATAACTAACGTACCTATAGCAGGGTCCATGCCGTGGGACTTGAGTTCTCGGTATTCTTGACAAAGAGCACAATACTCGCAAAAGAAGTGTATCGCCCAGTCGGGTGCCGGAGTCTCCATCAGGCCGTAGCGGCTCCTGATCTTGGTGCGGTATGAGCATGACATTATGCAAGGAATTCCAATAAAGGCTGCTATTAAACCGTAGATGAGTCCGCTTGTCGCACATGCTGCAACAAAATATTGTAAAATCAATTAAAACACCTTTAATAGGGACACAAAATAGCATTAAATTCCTATATGATGCAAATTAAAATCCTTTCAGGGACGAACTACTTTCATAATCGTGGGTGTCCACTGCCATGCATACTACTAAACTGTTCTAACGAGGTCTTGAAGTTAATAGCTTGTAAAACTTCCGGTAGCCCTGAATGTATTCGATTCTAAACCAAACTAAACGAACACAATATAATATATTTAGTATAGAGGAAGAGTTCGGAAGGGTAAGATGTATATGAGCACCGGTTATTTAGGGACAGAATATGGCATCACAGGAAGATGATTTTCTTTGTTGTAAAATGCAAATATATGAAACAAACTAAAATGTGCAATGTAGCTTACAAGTTTGGCCATTGTCGACGATCTCTGCGATCTGTCCGAACGTTACGCATGGGAAACACAACGTCATGATAGCTGTTAAAGAACAAATACCAATAAAAAAGGATAGTTTATAGGTTTATATGATATGATGAAAAGAACATCGATATACAAATTTTAAGTATTGGAGTTAAATAGTTTAGTTTTGACATTGAGAGAGTTAGAATCACCATTTTCAGGATCTTCCATGCAGTCCAAAAGACCAGTACTCCATCCCTGAGTGGGAGCAAGATATTGAGCTCCAATGGGGATCCCATTGGGAGTACCCATTGGCACCGGCGTCTGATATCCAATCGTCCCTCCGTAGTTGACCACCTGCGGCTGAACATTACATGAGGTTGGCTGCTGAGATGAGTAGGCTGCCGACGGCTGCTGAGATGGGTAGGCAACAGGTTGTTCCTGAGGTGGGTAGGCTGCATGTTGTTCCTGAGGCGGGTAGTTCGTTGGTTGGTGCAGAGGTGGGAAGCTCGTGGGTTGTGGCTGGGGTTGGTAGGTTTCCGGTGGGTAGGCTGCATGTTGTGGCGGAGGTGGGTAGGATGCCGGGGATTGTTGAGGTGGGTAGGATGCCGGTGATAGGTGAGGCGGGTAGGATGCCGGTGATTGGTGAGGTGGCGGTGGCTGTTCAGTAGGTTGAGGTACGTAAGAACGAGTGGATAGTGGGCTGTTCGTATTCTGAATATTATCGGTGACATAAGCATCTGATGGTGGTGGTGGTGGTGGTGGTGGTGGTGGTGGTGATGACAGTGGGTTGTCATGGTGGTTTGGATAGCCTTGTGGTGGTGGTTGGACTGGGGTTTGATCGGAGGACAGAGGGACTGGATTAGCTTCGAGACGGCCCATTTTATCTCGAGTTATTTGCAAGACTTTAAAGCTTTTATTGGTTTCGTTGGAGTACCAAAGGAAATGCAAGAGGGCATATGATCCAATTAAATGATATGAATCTAACTTCTTTATAGCAAGCAGTCGAGCAATAGAGACATGAGTGTCAGCTGTCTTTCATGGGGAACAAGTATTTATATATACCTGCATTATTTTTATTATTGAATAACTAGATTATAAATAAAAATTACTCATATATACAGTTGGGATTACATAAAGAATTATTGGGTTTGGTAACATGGATTTTTTATTTTCATTTTATATAATGTTGGAAATAGTTGTCAAGCTTAGGGGCTGTTCGGTGAGAGCTTAATGGACTGCATAGAGATTATGGCTTATTCGGTAAGCTATATAAAGCTGTTCGGAAGTAGCTTAACGTCCACAAACATGACGTATTCGATCAACTCTAAAAGTTAAGTCATATAGACTCAACAGATTTATTCTCCTTTTACCTTTTTTTCCCATAGTCCTCCCTTCCTCACCATCCCGCCCCCTTTCTCATTTCCATCTCCTTTTTCTCCCTTGCTTCCTCAATCTAAACAAAAATGGCACTACACAAAGATTTGTTTAGTACTCCCTCCATCAATATCTGCTCCTCTTGTTGGATCAACCGATATGTTTACTGTTTTAAACAAATGGGTTGCATCCAAGATCAACGACTTCTCTCTCTTTGATCTACTCATCTTCGACAACTGGTTTTTTTCTTGTTTGTGCCTTGATCGATAGCTGTTCCCATTTCGTTTTACAGTTCTACATATACTATTTTCTTCTCCAACATTAGTACTTGATCACCTAGAATTAATTTACTACTACAGATTTGGGTTGCATTTGTTGTAACCGGTAAATATGGTTTCACTGTTTTACATATATTTGCATACAAACATACAATTATTTGATCATACTAAAGAAGTAGTCCTAAGGCCATTTCCATTCACTTTCCTCCAATATAGAAACTTGGGAATTAACTTTGAAAACTATCAATGCTTGGTTTTCCTTTATCTTTCTTGCATTGTAGATTCTACATTATTATTAGCTTACCTTTGTTATCATTCTATGCTTTAGTACTTCATTTAATAAAATTTATTCTAAATAGCAACTAATGGAAATGAATGGACCATCAGATCTTGAAATATCATTATTTCAACTTATGATTATAATTGTTCTGCTTATTTTTTAATTGAAAAGCTTTTGTTGTATTCCTTCAATGGTCTTATATGATAAGTTTACCAACATTCCGTTACCTCCCCTGGACAGCAAGTCTTGAAAGTTTACATTACAACTTGGTCTTCTAGTGAGAAATATTAAACAAACTGGAATTTTACTTCAATAATCATATGTCTATTTATTTTATGGTTTGAGTCTCAGTTTGAACTAGTTCTTGCAGCACTTCCTGCTGATACAACATCTTCAAAAAGTAGGCCATGCATTGTATGAGGAATTTTTTGGTTTAGATCCGGTCAAGTTTGTATTGATATGGTGCACTAACAGAATTCACATGATTGTGGTGTTTTCTTGATGCGTCATATCGAGTACTATATGGGGGAATTGCCTTACAGATGGAAATCAGGCCTTGATGTGGAATGACCAAACCAAGTGAAACAACTGCAATTATTGAGAAGGAAATACACAACGAAACTTTTGCTTTCAGAGATCAACCTAAGACGATCATTTATGATAACAGACTGTGAAAAGTTTAGCTCATTGGATGTGAAAGAGAAAACACATTTGCTTAAATATGCACAGGCCAACAGGGAAACAAGGTTCGCAAGCATTTAGAAACTGAGACGGCGTCATATTTCACATCATATCTACTAAATAGTTGTTCTTTTTGTTAGTAGTTTGGAACAAATACGTTAAAGGATATGTTAGTCTGGTATTTCGAGGTTTCTTAGACAAATGTTCAGGTATTACTTTATATCAAACGGATATTTTGATTTTTTCTCATGAATACATAAATGGTTTTTGAGTCACTGATGAACTTTTCTCATTTCAGTAAGCATTTAAATAAAAAAATCATCTTAAATATAACTCCATAATAAAAACCGGCAAGCAATAGTGATTCCACGCGATCGAAAACTTGAGCAAACATGAAAATGGGAATTATATTAAAGCAAATGGCTCAAAAACATCAAAAACGAGATAGTCCTACTTTTTCTTCGCTTGACAGTTACAGATATCGTGTTTAGACAACAACTTACATCCTCCCTACATATCCTCTTAGGCCAACTACTCTTCACCGCGGCTTTCTCAGCTGCACCAACCATTTTTTTGGATGTTCCACACCTTTTGTTCCTTATACCTGTAGCGGGACGTATCTCAATGTTATCGGGTCGTGAAAAACCAAAGATTTGTTGTATTCCACGTTCTTTTACGTTTCATCGAAGGTTCATATGTACGCTTTTTCGCTAAATCATACCCCAAGTCTTTAATCATAGACATAAATGATTCTAATTTCTCTTGGTCATATCTTAATATGTCCAACACATCATCGATAACGTCAAATGTATCATTTAATAATCTATGTTGATCTTCTCCTACGTCACATATTCTTTGAAGGTTGTTTTGTAGTTCAATCGACATAAGGTCGCGTCTCCATCTCCTCAAAATGTATTTTTTAGGTATAGATTCAACTTGAACGATTAAGAAACTGCCATGAACGATTTAGTTTGTCTTCGCACATTCCTTGAGCAGATTTGATCAGATTCAGAAGCTGCCTTGAGCGATTTAGGCAGTGAGTTGAGCGACTTAGTTCATATAATGAGCGATTATACTTGGTGTATTTTAAGCCTTGAGCGATTTAGGCAGTGAGTTGAGCGATTAAGAGTTAGTGGTGAGCGATTTATTTCAAGTAGTGAGCGATTTAGTTCTTGAAGTGAGCGATTTAGACTCAAGTTGTGAGCGGTTTAAAACATAGTGTGAGCGATTTAGTACTTAGTTTGAGCGATTTAATTCTTTGTTGTGGGTGATTAAGACTCAAGTTGTGAGCGGTTTAAAACAGTCTTGAGCGATTAAGGAACATAGTCTTGAGTGATTTAGATATTGTCTTGAGCGATTTAGACTTAGGCTTGAGCATAGTTTTGAGCTTAGGCACATCTTGAGTGATTTAGACACTTTTTCATTACATAATTTGTTTGAGCCTAGCCTAACTTTGCTAAGAGCCTTGGCTATGTCCTTTTGTTCATTATCTTTTTGAATATTAAGTCTTGTTCAACATATTTTATCATATAGGATTTCCAGGAATTTTGAGAAGTGTAATTTTTTTGATTGTATTTCTTTGATCAATTTCTTGAACTGCATAGATTCTTTATTTGATCAATCTTGATTTTCTTAATGGCAGCTTTTCTTGAGAAGGAGAATAAAGAGTTGAGAGTTCAGATATACAAGCTGGAGAAGAGCATAGTAGACTATAAAGACAAATACATAAACATGTTTTCTGAGAATCATGCTAGTGAGGAATTTATTGCAAATTTACAAAAAGAGCATAAAGAAGCATTGAAAAAAGTTGAGAATGATTCCAAGTATCAAATTAATAAACTTGAAAAATCTCTGGATGATGTAAGAAAAAATATGATATTGAATTGAAAACATGGAGTAAATCTAATAAAGATTTGTTTAACACACTCCAAAAAGTCCAGAGTGAATCTAGAGCTGAGGGAAATTCTTCAGGTAGAAAACATACTGAGACTGATGACTTAACTGATAAATTTCATAAGTCTGAAAGTGATCAGATTGAGTTAAGAAAGCTTCTGAACTTAGAAAAAGAAAAGGTTTTGGAAACTGAAAAGAGTTCCAATGTTGAAAGAACAGTTTTTGAAAAAGAGAAAAAGAGGTTTATTGAATTAGAGAAACGATTTGATGCTGAATGCTTATCTTATGAAAATAAGATCAATTCTCTTGAGCTGAACACTAGATTTCTTTTGAATCAAATCTCAGATTTTGAACAACTTAATCTTGGAACGAGCCAAGGTTGATAAAGAAAAGAAAGAGGTTGAACAAAAGTAGAAAGCACTAGATGAAGAGAAAAGACTGTTTGTTCTTAAAAAGAGAAACATTGTCAAGAAACATGCTGCAATTGCCAAAGAGCTTACAGAGAAAAAGAAATGGCATGACATTGCTTCAGAAAATGAGAAGGGAAGTTTAGACGAAGAGAGAAAGAAATTTGAGAAAGAACGGAAAGTATTTGAAAAGTTAAAGAAGGAATTAGAAGGTAAGTTTTTGGATACTGCAAAGAAATTGTCTGATCTAGAGACAGAACTTAAAACGAAGCTGAAGATGAGAACATAACTTAAAAATAAGTTTGATTTAGTTACTGTTGAAAGAGACCAGCTTTTACAAAAAGTCAAAGACTTTTCTTGTGCTCAAAGCTCAATTGGTTCTCCTTCTCAGTGTAAAACTAGCTTCTATGACTGTTCCAAATCGAACAGTTATTCAAGCAGCCCTAAATCAACTATTTCTAAGAACTATTCTCGTTCTTCTAATCAGTATTATCAAGGGTATGTTATTGGATCACCTAATAATTCTTCTAAGATTAAAAGCATTTGGGTCAGTAAATCTGAATCTGTTTCATCATGTACCCCTGTTGTTACTAATCATCTTCCTTGTTTTGTAAGATCTACTACTGATTTGATTCGTCTTAACAAGAGAAGAATCATGTGCTCCACATGCAAATCAACAGATTTTGTGAACAAGAATATATACAACAAATGGAGTACAGACAACAGAGATCAGAAGGACTGAAGGGTAAGAACAGGTATGATTATAATAGTTGGTATGGATCATATTTTGTAACTGATAATCCTATTCAAAGTGCTAAAAAGAAGACATTTAATAAAAATAGATGGTTTGGAAGTTACAACATACCCCAGCTCGATACTAACAAAATAGGACCCAAATTCATTTGGGTACCAAAATCTATTTGATCTGATTTTGCATGTGTGTCAAGTTTGCGCTGATTAGAATAT